TGCACAGAATGACCTCCGTATAAAAAAAAGTATCACCACGGTCCATCACTACTCACATGTTTCCCCGCAGAAGAACATGCTAGCCTAGTGCCATTTTCTGCAAACAAAGACTTGCACCTCAATGCGTATAATACGGTATTGATATGATGTGAAGGCCATCATTTACATATTGATATAGGGCATTCCATTGATTGGTGACAGAAAAAACAAAAGAAATTATAGCAATAAAAACTGCTTTATGACAGTTTTCTAAAAAAAAGTTATTGTGTTCTAGTCCATGAACCCCGTCTAAAAAGTAAGAAATTAACGAAATGTGATAGCCGAAAATTAAAATTTCACACAAAACCTCACAATAATCACCCACAGAATGAAAAGCTACATGTACTCGTAGAAGACCTTTTCCCCTCGTGATCCTCTTTCCTATGCATACATGACATGCACGTTGCCAATTGTTGGTGCAGTACAAGTTTAGTGTTGAAAGCAGCATTTCAACTGTTGTGATTATTGTGAGGTTTTGTGTGAAATTTTAATTTTCGGCTATCACATTTCGTTAATTTCTTACTTTTTGGACGGGGTTCATGGACTAGAACACAATAACTTTTTTTAGAAAACTGCCATAAAGCAGTTTTTATTGCTATAATTGTAGTGGACTGGACATGTTCTCAAGGAGGTCGTAAACCTACGACTTCCTGGTGCATCTACTTGTACTTGTACTTGCAGAACATGTACAACTGTATGGAATTTGATGCGAACAGGCGGATTAATGTTGGTTTGCGTTGCGCAAACCGTAGTTAACCTACATGTCACAGACCCGCATCTCCCGCATGGAGATGCCGTCCGCGGACACGCCAAAACCGGCTAAGTCTCATACGAGCTCCGCTAAAGTCGTACGCACTGCCGGGCTCCCGCGTGGGGCCCCACGCAAGCATTTGCAACCGCGACGCGCGTACGGCATGCCGTATAAGCCACCTAGTACCTATCAGCCTTGGGTGCAAGCTCACCCAAGGCCACCCTCGCAAGGCAGGAACAAGTACTGTAAAAGCAGAAATTTTCGGTGGTGTAATATTTTCGGTATTCTCCAAAATCGGCGGTTCGGTGGAGGGAAATTTTCGGTAAACCCGCGTTCCAGGTAAGTGTACTAGTACTATACCGACATTTTCGGTGCGTTTTATTTTCGGTGAAAATTTCGGCACCGAAGTTACCGAAAATAAAACACCACCGAAAATTTCTACTTTTAAAGGTAAAGACACCAGTTGTTTGTTGTGCCTGCCCGCCGCAGAAATTGTTTGAAATTGTCTCCTTCTAAGCTTTCGCTCTCAGCGATAGTCTTTACACCCACCATGGCTTTCTCGGATTCACAAATGGAGTCTATCCAGCAGATCATGGCAGCCAGCGTGGCGGCAGCCCTCAGTGGCAACGCACCGGAGAACGTCACGGAGCACCAAGAAGACGGTATGTGTGCTGATCAATTAATGCACCATACGAACATGGGTTACCCCTCCTGCATTTCGCACGTCGCGTTGGAGACAGTGGATCGGATCAGACGAGTCGAGTATATAGATCTGGCAATACTGCTCCCGCCCAAATCTATTTCTACCGGGGAGCCAGCCCCTAAGAGGTTCCGCATAGACGAGGAAGGGGCACTTTCGGTGACAAGCGCACCGAAAGGGAAAATTGAGAACCTTGCCACGTGGACCGAGGCATGGTCTATTTTTAGCCTGATCACCATCCGCGATCAACCTCGCTGCGCCGCTGCACTGATGCAGCACCAAATACGCATGGTACAGGCAGCCGAGAAGTACCGCTTCTCGGCAGTCGTGGACTTTGACACGCGGGCACGCCAGGCCCTGTCAAAGGACCCAAGCCGATCCCTGGCGGAGCTCGACACGGAGCTTTTCGCGACGTGTTTCACGGGTCAGGCCCTCCCCAATTGCAGCATTTGCTAGAAGGTGGGGCACTTGGCCGGAGCGTGCACCTCGGCCTTTCGCGGCAAGCAGGCGAAAGAGAGTGCAAGCACTAAATCAACCGAAATCTGCCGCCGCTACAATCACGGCGCCTGCAGCGGCCCATGTCGCTTTCGACACGCCTGCCTCTTCTGCTCAGGCTCGCACGCCGTGTCAGCCTGTCCAGCCAAGAAATAAGAACAAACAGCAATCAGCCCCGGCACCACTTTCTTGCATTCACCCACCCCCTAACACCCCTATGAACATTGCTGCATTACACCCCAACACCCCTATCAATATTGATGCATTACACACTGAATTGCTGGCGCACCCTAATCCTGCATTTGTTCATTCTCTAATTAGCAATTTACGTGCCGGCTGTCGTATTGGGTTCACCGGACCCCGTGATGTGTCCGTACGCAGCCCGAACTTGTCTTCAGCGGCAGCACACCCCGAGGTCGTCGACCAGTACCTGGCCACAGAATGCAGTCCCGGCCACACCGCTGGCCCCTTCAACGCGCCGCCATTCGTCCATCTGCGCACCTCTGGCGTAGATGTGGTCCCCAAGAAGTCGGGCGGCCACCGGCTCATCATGCACCTGTCCGCCCCCGATGGGAACAGCGTCAATTCGTTCATTGACAAGCAGGCCTATCGTTTCCCCCTAATTACGATTGACACGATAGCAGACCACGTGCGCAGGACGGGCCCCGGAGCCCTCCCTTCAAAGGTGGACCTGAAGCACGCTTTCCGACTCTGCCCCGTGCACCCTGACGACTGGCCGCTCCTCGGCATGTTATGGAAGGGCAACTACTATTTCGACACTGTCCTGCCATTTGGCCTACGCTCCGCTCCCGGTCTGTTTAACTGCCTGGCTACCGCCCTAGAATGGATCCTCCGTAATAACTACAGTATCCCTGCCCTGGAGCACTATTTGGATGACTTCGTATCATTGTCTCCAGCAGCAGAGTCTGTCACGTCCTCTGCGGCCGCGACCCACAAAGCCACTATTCTGCAGGTCTTCGCAAAACTTGGTGTCCCAACAGCAGACGGCCCGGACAAAGTTGTTGGCCCCGCCACCTGCCTCACAGTGCTTGGCATCGACATTGATTCAGCGGCAGGGGAGCTGCGGCTCCCAGCCGAGAAGCTCCGTACATTGCGGCAACTCCTAGCAGCCTGGGCCATCCGGCCATCAGCGTCCAAACACGAACTCCAGTCCCTCGTTGGCCACCTGGCGTTTGCCGCCAAGGTCGTGCCAGCCGGTCGTACGTTCACTCGCCGCCTCATCGACCTGTGTTCCTCAGTCACCAGCCCTGCCGCGGCCGTTCGCCTCACCAGCGAGGCTCTTGCCGACATCAAATGGTGGCAGGAGTTCCTCCCACTATGGAACGGAAAGGCCTTCCTACGCGACCCCGTATGGTCAAAGTCCCCGGACCTGGAATTGTTCACCGACGCGTCTGGCAGCGGTTTCGGCGGCTTTTACCAGGGTCGTTGGTTCGCGGGCACATGGTCAGCGGCGCAGCAGGCCCCACCATACATGTCCATAATGTGGAGAGAGATGTGGCCCATCGCCATTGCCTGCCAACTCTGGGGCCCCCACTGGGCACAGAAGAAGATCCTCCTGCACTGCGATAATTCAGCAGTGTGCACTGCCTGGGAGTCCGGCACATGCCGACACGCCGGGGTCATGGCACTGATACGCAGCACCATGCAACTCACCGCTCGCCACAACTTCTGCCTGCTCGTCCGTCACATCGCCGGCGTCGACAACAGCATCGCAGACGCACTCTCCCGGGCCCAGTTCCAGCGCTTCCGCTGTCTGGTTCCCGACGCGGAGACTGCCCCATCGTCACTCGCCAGTGCCCAATCCGACAACAGATAGTCGCATCCGTCTGCAGCTGGCCAGGCGCCCCAGCCGCCAATTCAAGCTCCCAGCAATCCCAGCTACCACTGCGCAGGCTCGCCGTACGGTCGTAGTCCCCCCAGCCCAGCATCTGGCATCTCTGCTCCTTTTCTTGTTGTTTTGTTTCCCCTACCCTACTAACCCACCTACAATTTCCGCTGGCAATGATCCATGCCCTCGCCGAGGCGAACCCTTCTTGGTCTATCTTACCACTCTGTGTGCTTAATGGGCTAATCCGGCCCCTTAGAACCCCCCTTTTTCTTTTTGGGAGGAAGGGGGGGGGGGGGGCGACACCCGGCAGGCCCCGAGCCGGCGACCGCTGTACTCGGGGGCGCTCCATATGTACGCTATACCGTAGTATACGTGTGGCCCGCATGGCGCAAACAAAATATGGGCCAGGCACCGTGTTGCCATGCTACCGAGGCAAATTGTAGAGGGCGGTAAGCCTACCTAGCAGGTGTAGGTTTGCCTGTATACTAGGGGCACGGCTCCGTGAACTTGACCTACTCGCTGTCTTGTGCTCTGCGTGTATATCCAGGCTCGCAAGCCGCGCGCATAACATCCCGCCGGATGTCCACCTCCCGCCGGAGGATCGCCTACAGACACCACCGCCGCAAGCAACGGCTCCGCGAGCCAACGCTTCGCCGCCCGCTGTCTTTTAGTGTTGTTCTGTGTGCCTATCCAGGGTCGCTAGCCCCGCTCGGATTACATCCCGCCGAACACATAACTCCCGCCGGAGAATTGCTTACAGACACTGCCGCTGCAAGCTGCGGCTCTGCCGAACCAAGGCTGCGCCGCCCGCTGTCTGTTGTTCTGTGTGTCTGTCCAGGGTCGCCAGCCCCGCTTGCATAACATCCCGCCGGATGTCCACCTCCCGCCGGAGGATCGTTTACCGCCACAAGCCACGGCTACGCAAGCCAACGCTTACGTGCCACCCCCATGCGTCCACCCGCAAAGCTAAGTACCTATGGGTTAGGCCAATAGCAGAGGCTCCCACCCCGCGGGGCTGGGGGAGGGGGCTCTCGGGTCGTATTTGCATTAGCCCCACAGCATGGGGGCGAACCTCGGCCAAACCAGTACCGGAACGCCCCGCCGAGGTCAGGGGGGAGATCTTCCACTAGCATAACCCACGGGTCCCCTGCTTACAATCCGCAGCCATGCCGCTGGGCCAGTGCGTTCCGGGAAGCGGGCCGCTGTTCGGCGACCCGGCGCAGCACGCATACACCGCAGCTTGGCCGCCGTGCCACCCTGCCTGTTTAGGGAACATGCTCGTGTGCGGAGGTATGCGTGTGTGCGTTTGTGTTGCATGCGCCTGTGCCTGTGTCCTCCTAGGCTCGCTAGCCACCGCTCTCTCAGCGCGAGCAGAGCACCTGATTGCCAACTCAGTAGCCACTGGCACACAGCGCACGTACGCCCCAGGCTGGCGTGCATTCTTGGAGTTCATGGGTCGCATGCGCCGCGACGCACATCACCCAGATCAGAACGACGTCCTGCTGTTCGCTGCCGCAATGTCTCACTCAGTCAGCGCCAGCACTCTGAGAGTCTACCTGGCCGCGATCAAATACCACCTCCTCCGCATGGGAGGCCCGGTCGGGGTTACATCCTCTAACCGCGTCACAGCCCTGCTCAAGGGCTTGGAGAGGGAGAGAGCGTCACTTCCCAGGCATCCGTCAGCACGCCCTCAGCGCCAAGCGATCACCGTCCACCAGTTGAAGGCTCTCCGCCAGTTCTTGGATCGGACCTTGTACTCCCCGGCAGACAGACTAATGCTATGGGCTGCTCTGACGACAGCCTTCCACGGCCTGCTGCGTGTGAGTGAGTACACGTCGCCGTCACCACACGGTCCCGGCGGCCTCAAGACACTGAGGTGCGAACACCTCCGCCTAGCCCAGCAGGAGGCCTCTCTGCAGCTCCAGAGGACGAAGACGTCTCAATTAACAACAGGCGGGGAGGTAGCGCTGCATCGCTACGCTGACCCCGCACTATGTCCCGTCCGAGCCCTGCAGGCTTACGTTCGGTCCAGCAAATGGAGCAATGACAAGCAACCCCTATTCAAGTTTCAGGATGGTCGCCAGCTCACGCCGAACGACATCAATGCTGTCCCACTTAAAGTGCTAGGTCCAAGCATCAGCAGCCATTCCTTACGCGCCGGGGGAGCCACACACATGGCGGATCGAGGCGCACCGGAGTATGCCCTGATGGCTGCAGGCCGCTGGTCCAGCGGGGCATATCGCACGTACATTCGCAGGCCCGCAGGCATGCCACAGCACTACTAGAGCCTGCGTGTCGCAAGCAACTCGGTACCTTTATTGGAGGCACGGGTGCTGCCAATGGGCGCCGCATAGTGCACGCACATCGGCACCATTGAACTTTTCAAGTGTACTAAGATTTAGTGTTCCGCTGCCATAGCAACCTAGTAGTACACGTAGCCGTTCCGACAGCGCAGGACCCCGCGGGTCGCTTCTGCTGTCCTTGCCTCTCTGATGCGTGATATATGTACATCATTTATAATCATGACCTCATACTGAGTACATGTACGTCATACTTGATTACCGATCACAGGCTCATGATTATTCATGCTGGAATAAACGCTTTCGACACCCCACAAACTCGTCTCTCTTGTGTGGCATGAGGGTTAAATGTTGGTTTGCGTTGCGCAAACCGTAGTTAACCTACATGTCACAGAGCCGCATCTCCTGCATGGAGATGCCGTCTGCGGACACGCCAAAACCGGCTAAGTCTCATACGAGCTCCGCTAAAGTCGTACGCACTGCCGGGCTCCCGCGTGGGGCCCCACGCAAGCATTTGCAACCGCGACGCGCGTACGGCATGCCGTATAAGCCACCTATCAGCCTTGGGTGCAAGCTCACCCAAGGCCACCCTCGCAAGGCAGGAACAAGTAAAGACATTCACCAGTTGTTTGTTGTGCCTGCCCGCCGCAGAAATTGTTTCCCACCAGGGAGTCGTAAAATACCGGTATTTTACGACTCCCTGTTTCCCACCCTCCCGCACCATTTAAAAGGCAGGAGGCACGGGTGCTGCCAATGGGCGCCGCATAGTGCACGCACATCGGCACCATTGAACTATTCATGTGTACTAAGATTTAGTGTTCCGCTGCCATAGCAACCTAGTAGTACATGTAGCCGTTCCGACGGCGCAGGACCCCGCGGGTCGCTTCTGCTGTCCTTGCCTTTCTGATGCGTGATATGTGTACATCATTTATATTATAATCATGACCTCATACTGAGTACATGTACGTCATACTTGATTACCGATCACAGGCTCATGATTATTCATGCTGGAATAAACGCTTGCGACACCCCACAGGCTCGTCTCTCTTGTGTGGCATGAGGGTTAATTCCAATTTTATGCGATTCGTATGCAATTTGCCTCGAATTATGCGATTATTCGATTTTGGTAGGAATTATGCGAAAAAATATGCTAGCGTAATCTGTCAAGGCCTAGGAATACTCATGTAACATTTTGTTGTACTTATGGCCACTTGCAAGTACGATAAAGGCACAAATTTCCGAACTTTGAGGCGTCATAAGTACAACAAAGTGAATAAGTATCCCGGCATCCCAAAGCATAATATGAGGATTTTTGCGAGCATAATGCGAGAATCCATGAAAGCATAATTCCATGATTTCGCGAGCATAATCCGCTGGAGCCTAACCCAGGACACTTGCTTACCGGTTTGTTACCCCATGCAATGTACCCAGGACACTTGCCGGTATGTTACCTCCATGCAATGTACCCAGAACACTTGCTTACCGGTATGTTACCCCTCCCATGCAATGTACCCAAGACACTTGCTTACCGGTATGTTACCCCCATGCAATGTACCCAGGACACTTGCTTACCGGTATATTACCCCTATGCAATGTACCCAGGACACTTGCTTACCGGTATGTTACCCCATGAAATGTACCCAGTCAAAGTTACTCTCATCAACAGACTGAACAAACAGTGTCACAACACTGTGTTGCTATCCAAATACATAAAGTCGCAAAATGACATGATTTTGGGATGTGCCACAATTCCCGTATTGGTAGTTCAGCCCCCACCCTACAGAAGTCACTGACGTCTCTGGTTGAACAGCAAGGTGACGAGATGATTATTCTTGTCAGTTGTGTGTGCACTGTCTACCTGTACAACATCTCGTCACCTTTGGTGGACTGTCAGTCATAACTCGTAGTTTATTGGCCCTTGCCCATTCTTTTGTTATATCCTGGTTTCCGATTCACTGTGGTTTTCTGTATTTCCCAGACGCTGGAACGCCTGTGCAGGTGGTCTCGCCATCAGCATTCAAAAACAAGATAAACGAACACTAAATAGAACGTGAGTGACGGGTATACATGTAGAGGTGTGAGACTGAACAAGAATACATTTCAAAAGGCATACCTGTTCCACAAACAACTAACAGATCGGTACCCAGCCAGCAGAGACATTCCGGCAAAAGCTCTTAATTGCAAGTGATCAGATAAAGATAGCAATACTGCTTGTATCTATGATAATGTTTGAAGGGTAGGTTTAACCAACATGCATGCATCAGCAGATAGTTCATAACGCGCATATCTAACATTAATAATATCCACCAGGAAGGCAAGAGCAAGAACCAACACCCGTAGCCACCGCCACTTCACGCATATCTGCAAATAAAAGCTTGGTGAAAGAAGATCCTATTGGGACACATTTCGCATAAGATGCAACTCCAGCAAAGAAACTGTCGTCGTAGGAGCTTCGGTTTGCTATTTCCTTTTCACTGCAAATGTGAGGAGCAACTGTGTAGCAATACTCGAGTTTGACTGTAGGTGGTGAAATGATCATTGCTCCTACAGCATTCGAAAGTTCATCTATAGGGAAAACTTTGGAAAATTTTCTACAAAGATCGAAAGGATCCGATGCACGACGGTGACGCCTCCTGCTCAGACGGTCTCTCAAACTTTGTATCCCCAATTCCAACCTTCGCGCGAGTTCCTCAGTCTTGGAAGCGTTGCGTTGCGATCCATGGCCATATACACCTTGCATAGAATGATCCTTAGCGACGGCCTTGAGTTTGTGGTTGTCGGCGTAGACAATGACTGCACAGCAGAATGCCATCAATATGATGGCAGACACGGGCACCTTCATCTCGTAAACCACGGTGACTATAGCATACAAGAACAAAAAGACATAAGATAGGGTTGAAGTATTGTACCTGTCACATAACGCCTCGGATTGTGTAGGCAGGACAAGAAAATCCGATAATTCAGTGAAGTGGTGTAAATTGAATTTAAATACAAGCTCACACAATCACCAAATCCATACGTGGGCAATTTCCACGCTCTTGGGAAGCCTGGTCTTGAGAAAGGGAACTCAATGAGCCACCACTCGCCGCCATGGAATACACTGACCCAGCGCTCCAAGCCAGGTAAAGCGCACCAGCGCTGGGCCAACGATCAACATCGATCTCCATCCACCATTTCACTCCTGTTGAGGGTAACGAACTCAAAAAATCGTAGAGACTCCCGGGAACCTACTGATACGCCAATGATGGTGCAACTACTTTTTGTAGACTTGAGAGGGCACTGAGTAGTTGCATACAAAGTTCAAAGTTGTACAGTTACCTGTGACTTGTATTCCTGCAGAGCGCAGGCCTCAGGGCCAACAATGTACACATTGAAGTATAATTTGTATGCAACTTGTGTGCGATGCCCTACCAAGTCTAGTGGCGCGTTATTTGGCATAGGCTGTGTTTACATGAGAAATTTCAACCCGGGTCGAGTTCAGCCCTGGTTGAAAGTCTGTACGATAGACAAAAGAGGTGAGCGTTTACATGAAGACAGTTGATCCGGGTCCAATACTGATATGCCGCCAAAAGTCCACTTCTACAGTTCCGTATAGTCACGTGAATCCTTTCGCGCGAAATTTGCATGTACAGTACTGTTCAAACCTGGCGCGAGATACGCACAGAAGTACGTTTGTACGATTTTCTTGACCCGGGTTGATTTCAACCCTCCCCCCTTTTTTTTTTTTTTTTTACGGGCAAAATAACACATTTTGTGAAGAATCAACACATATATAAAAACGAATCAGCATATACAGTATTTACAGAGTCTGTCACTCAGTAGGATCACTGCACTGTGCAGGTTCACTGGATGCGTGCCTCCGCCGCCACTAGCACAGCAGGGGACTCAGGCATGGCAGGAGCAAACATGCTCCTTGAGCCACGCAGGCACATAGCACCACAACGCACCAGGGCAAACCCAAGGCGGCAGCGCAGCAAGGAGATAACCTGCCCGTATGGCTCCTTACTCTTCTCAGCCAGGAGAGAGGCGATCCGCGTGAAAAGAGCATTGGCATGCTTGCCATAGCCACCAGAGGCAGAGAGCACAACGGGCACGAAGGAGGCATGCTCAACTTCACGTACTCGCTCCTCGTACTTCCGGCGCTTTTCCTGTTCATGGCGTCTGTAGCTAGCAGCGAGGGAGGTGGCACGATTCGAAGACGCAAAAGGGTTGAACACCCGTACATCAATAAAGATGCGCTCGAATCGGCCACCCCACACACCACTAGCCGCAACGTCCAGCCGAGCTTGCTCCTCCGTGACAGCTGTGCGATGGCGGAAGGCCTCTCCGGTGACGGGCTGGAGGTGGGGTTCCACTGTCACGTTGTGAGCGACCTGCCTCAGAGCTCTGGCGGTGATGTCCCTCACCTCGTTGTGTCGCAGCGTCGGGAAGCCACCAAACGGGCACGACAGGGCGTGACTCACATTCAGCGGCTTACTGCACACGCAGAGGCTTGGGAGCCGAGGAGGTGTCCAGCCGTACCGGAGGCACAGGCCATCCCGGAAATCTCCCTTGCTGAGTGTGAAACCATGGCGGCTGAGGGGGCGGCAGGTCAGCCAGCTGGATGCACCCTTTTCTGAGGCCAGGTCGAGAACAGGGGCCAGCTCCCGGTGATCCGAGCGAAGAGCGTCAGCCATAGACTTGAACGCGCTCCGCTTCTCGGCCCGAACCGTCGCCTTGACCGTCCGGAGCTGAGTCAGAGAGTCGCCAAGAGACGACTCCTGCTCCAGCAGGCGAGACACGAGGCTAGCCGTGATCCTTCGGGATGAGGTGTACTGTTCAGCCACTGAACAAGGGTCTGCCATATCCAGTCCCCCAAGCCGGCAAGGCAGAGAGAGTAGGGAGCGAACAGTTGTCCCAGGTGGAGCCTGACCCGTGATGGCCGGGATGAGCCGACCGCTGATTGCGTGTTCCAGCGGTTCAAGCAAGGATGGCGGGATGGAGGA